CCCCCCTTTACCACCCACCCCTAGGCCCCTTTTCCACCCCTCATCCAAGCCTCACCAGTAATAACCATTACTACTGCCTAGTTTTACGAGCCGACTTAAAACTTTCACAAGCCGTATACCCTGCCACCTTCAATCCACCGATCATTTCGAGGCATTGACAGCATCAGCCACATTGTCGTTATATTGCGGGGAGAATGAACGACGTCGAACTTTCATTTCGTCTAATTTAACAAACTTGGGGTAATAAGCGGGAAAAAGGTGAATTTATTCACTCACCAAGTGGCTACCACCGGGGGGAGGGGCGCTGGACGGTATTTAAGAGGGGAGGGGAGGGTGATTCCGGATTTTGATGATTTAAAATTTTCATTAAAAATTTGGATGGGAATCGCTTTGGAAATTCCTGGACTGCGCAGCAAGCGTGCAGCATCTAACCGTAAATATAACGGTTCACTCCAGTAAAATTTCCCACTTCCGTCACTGAAAAAGTAATGAACAGTCCAGTAAAATTAACTGGAAGTACTGTGAAGAATGAATGACTGATACGAGAAGAAAAATGAATAGTCCATTATTAAATCCGCTGCTTCCACAAATGCTTCAGCTTTTTAGCAGTACATTTTACAACATTGAATGAACTTGGGAGAAAATTGAGGATCGGTCCAGTAAATTTTGTTGTCCTGCGCAGTAAATATTCCAGGGGACAGCAGTGATTGTTTATAAATTTCCCATGACATTTCATCACATTTCAGTGCAGTGCATCTATAGTGCACGTTCACTATACTATATTTCCGTGGAGCTCATAAATATCTTCCCAGATTTCGTCTAAAAGGCCATTCACAGGTATATCAGTAGTATTAGGTGGAGGTTAAGGGTGCCATTACGAAGCGATATTTAACGAGGAATTATCTAAAAGAGTGTGGGGAGAATTGAAGTGCAGGGTGGGGTTTAAGCTGAGCTTTTGCCGCATTATCTCGGGAAGCCCTGGGCTGCACTACCGATCGTAGTTGGGTACCGGTTGGAGCTGACTCAGTTTCACCGGTAATCCGGTAGCCACCCCCCAACCACCCCCAACCCCCTCATGATTCCCTACTTGTTTTCACTATCACCGGAAGCGGAACTCGAAACTATCGCGGGCCATCGAGCGATTGTGAACATTAACGATCTCCCCCTGCGGTCTTTTTATTCCAATGCAAATCGGTTCTGACGTTTTCACCTCTCCTCTTCCTTTTTTTAGTCACCTCCAGATATTTGTAATGTGTTTTGATGAATTTCCGGCGTCAAAGGAAAAGTTATGAGTGAGAAAAATGGGGGATGCCGAGTGTAAGTGCGCGAACATTTTCACATTCAGTGGATGAAAAAAAAAAAAATTTAGCACTTTCAAACGACTCGTCCACTTCAGGGAACAGTTTTTCCCTCTCAACCCTTAAAAAAAAAATTGTTAACATGGCCCATTGCATTTGAAATGCGGGGGAAAAGTGAAATGTCGAAGGATGCAGGGCCATTTCAAGTCACCCAACACCCTGTATATCCCTAAAGTAGGAGAAAGGGTAATAAAAAATATGGCACAGTGTGCACTAGAGATTTTTCAACGGTATTGAGTGGTGAAATGTGTCAATGAGAGGGGGTGAGTGAGAAAAAAAAAAATTGAAGAGCCATAAAAAGAATAGATACGTGCAATCATGGAGCGGCTGCTGTCCACATTTTTTTAATTTCATTATTTCGAACTGAAGAGATAAAAAAAAGTGGAGCCTTAATACCGAACAAACTCTGGGTGGCCAGATTAATTTTTCTAACGAAGCCCGGTGGCAAAAAAGTTTTGCGCGATTTGCATTTTTACCACGAATTAAAAGTAGAAGCGAAAGAGAGAGAGAGAGGAAAAATAAAAAATTGTGAATACGTAGGGGGTGGTAGGGGGAGGGGTTGCCTGGAGGTTATGTGGGACGATTCAGCCGTGGGAGAAATAAAGGTGGAGGATGGAGAGGAAATAAAGTACGACGGGTGGAGGAAAATTTCTGGTGGCCAGATGAAGGGATGAGAGAGGGTGGAAAAATAAGTATGGGAAACGTGAAAAAAAAAAAAAGAAGTGCCGGAGAATAAACTGACGCAGCACTGTACGGGTAATTTTACACCGCACTTATAAAGATCATTCGAGGATCCCCGGGTTAAGAGGATATATAAGACGGTACAGTATAGCTGTGACAGAATGAGAGATAAAATGAACATTTTGGTGTTCTCTGCCTCGACTTTTCCATTTTTATTGAAATGAGAACAGCTGGTGACTGGTGGCTGACTCCACCGACATTTTCCACTGGTGTATAACAGAAAAAAAAATTGAATTTTGTGATAAATATTTGCGTTGCCACTGGTTCTCTTCTGGATTAACTGGTCCAGGATAACACTACCCTGGAAGAGCCCATTTGGTATGTCTTGGGGGGGTGAGAAATAATAAGAAAACCCTGGGTATTAGAATATTCAAATTTGCCCGATGTTTTTATCCAGTAGATTCGGCCCCTCTTTGTGGAAAACCTTCCGGGAGAAAAAGGAGAAAGCCTTATTGAGTCAGCGAAATTGAATTGTACAGCCGGTTGCCTTGGCAGACATTCCTGTTGCTCGGAAATTTCTTTTTTTTTTTATTCGAGTGAAATTTTATTGGTATGTTTGTGGATTCGTAAAGACCGATGAAATCACAGTGTTTTTGTCAGTGAAATGAAGTGTATTCGCAGTGTCCTCAATCCACCCCTGATATACCCCGGGATTTAATTTCCCATTTAATGCTCAACTCAAAAGAACAACATTAATTAAATATCTGTTGAAACGAGCTGAAAGTACTGAGTAAATCCTCTTATGTAGGACATCGGAAGCACAGGACCTTCTGTAAATGACATGAACTTCAAACTGGACGTCTTTACAGACTTTGTACTTAACGTAATCACCACAGTTGCATTCGGATCTATTCCCATTGCAGCAAGAAACAGTAATGAACTTGAGTTGTTCGTTGTTGAACAAAAGATCGTCTGAATTACAGCGATTTTACCGAATGGAAGAATTCTCAAGAGGCATTGGCAGAGTCAAAAAAATTTTCAATATATTCATCAACTCCTCAAACTCCAAACCCTCAACTTGTATAATCTTTCCGTGTATAAGCAGCGAAGCGGACGAGTTACTCAAGATATACTAAATTTTCTTGGAGGTTATCACGGATGACATCACCCGGATATTTCATAAACTCAGTCAAGCCGTTTTTGGACTTTTCAGTTGCAAAATTTATCCACCGACTTCTCCTTTTCCCTCGAGTAATGTGGATTTAAGAAGTAACAGTGGACTGAGAGGGAGCCTAGATTAATATTATCCACAGTGAGCATTGAAAAGTTTTTAATAACCCTTAATTCTTGATGAAGTTACCCCCCTCGTACCACCCCCTTGAGTCACTGAGAAAATAGTTTGAGCCATATAAGCGGTGGAATGAGGAAATTGGGGTAGTTAGTCTTCTTCAAGTGATGCCAAGATTCCAGAGAAGAAAGCCGATTAAGTATTTTCAGTAGATACCACTCGAATTCAAGCCAAAACTTTTCGTCTAAATATCGAATTAAGTACCTCGTGGTTATGATTTAGCCACTGATGCGAATCATCAGAGCGAAAAAATATCTGAATATGATGAGCCATGTTCCATCCTATTTCAATTACCATGGATTTATGCTAGGTTCTGCTAAATTAAACCAATACATTTTTTCCTGGATTGATTATTTCACTGCAATGACTCGGCCTTTGCGTTTATTTATCAGGATTATTTGAACGCTCTGTTTCATTATCAGTTTCACATAATACGAAATCATTCATCAGCTCGATTTAAATAATACGAGATTTAATGTTTTATCACAATAGTCATTTGGTGTGAGTCAACTGTTGATTACGCTTGGTATCTGTTGATGGTGAATATTTATTCGCAATTCATTGGAACCGATGACTAATGCGCAAATTTTTTATTTGTTCTGATTGTAGGTTTTGGCTTCGTGACATTTCAGAGTGAGGACGTTGTTGACAAAGTCTGCGAGATTCACTTCCACGAGATAAACAACAAAATGGTGAGTATTTTGAATTTAGTCAAATGGTCAACTAGTGACTCCATTAAAGTCCCAGATCCCAAGTACCTCCACCTGCATGAATAGATCACGTTAATAGCATCCTCAATTCTCCACCCAACGAGCGAGGGACACTCCACTTCTAGCCAAAATTAAAGATCCTGACAAGACGACGAGACACTATTTACCAACTTCCACCGCAATGGAGTGAGATTTGGTAGTGGGTAATGGCAGTGGTAGTAAACCACCAAGAGATGAACGGAATTAATTTACCAGATAATCGAAGCAGAGTCGAGGCTTCACATTGGCTATTTGTATTTGGTACACATGCCACTGGTCCACCCGGAGCCATTCTTGGGAAATATTTGAACTCGGAAACAGTGATGCCACTGTCTCACAGAGATCAGAAACAACAGTCAAAGTTGGAAATCCTTTGGACATCATCATCGTATTTGATCCTGTCCAAGATGAGTTCACCAAATCTTCATTATTTAGATTGCAACCAAAATGATTGATCGACTGATGAACCCTCAATCCTGTCCAATACCCCGCAGCTGCCAAACATCGATCAAACACAAAATCCAATTAATCACTGCTGATTATTCCAGGTTGAATGCAAGAAAGCACAGCCAAAAGAGGTGATGCTACCGGCTAATTTGGCGAAGACGCGAGCGGCTGGTCGAGGTGCATACGGTGAGTTGGTGATGGTTGCGACACCCCCGACCACCTATCGTTACGCGCCGTATCCCCTGCCATCAGCTGCAAGTGCTGCTGCACCACATCATCTTTTAACTCCAATAGTAGCAGCAACACCAAGTACAGCTGCCTATCAGTATGCAGCACCACCAACAGCATCAGCTGTTTACGATGTTAAACGAGCACTAGCTGCTGCTGCTGCTGCTGCTGCATACAGACCACATCCAGCAGCAGCTGCTGCTGCTGCTGCATCTCGTGCAGCAACATTGAGCTACTCAATGAGCGATTTGCTTGGTGTTCAGGGATTAGACATGGGAACTGTTTACCATCCGATACCGACTATCGGTCTATGACCCACGATACTGACACCATTGTCAAGGCCACAGTAATTATATCAGACATAATACCATTACGTTGACATTATCATTTGATTATTACAATACACGACTGATACTGCGACCAACGAACCTTCAGGACTATTTTGCCATCTTATTCCTTCATTTGGCTTGTCATTGAGAATATTGTTGGATGATGCAAATTTGAGACTGTTCAACGCGATGTTCAGGAGCTCTGTGATCGTAGTGACAATTAGAGTAGATCTTTAGAATTTTCTTTACCAACTGGGGCCTCAATATTTTCCACAGTAGATGAATCCAGGTGAGCCGTAAAATAATGGTACCGATGGGCGGGAATAAAAACCATTCAAGACTGGTAGTGAATATATTTCCTTAGGCGGTCAGAACTCGAGTAGAATATGGTAGACAATAACAAAGTGTTCAGAAAAGAGAGGAAAAAGCGATTATAATAGAGCTAGTGTGAGAAAGAGATAAAAAAACAAATAACGGGAATTACGTTTGGAAGTTGCTCAATACCTTGCGCTATCGTCGGGGACTAGGGTTCGAGTGCAGGATCCAATGAATATAAATTTAAACCGGTATGGGTATATGGGCCATCCAAGAGTCTTGGACGATTTATTATCGAACCACGGTGTGAATCGGTAACGACGAGAAATATACTAGTGAATCTCATCCCCCTCGTACTGCGGACGGGGCTCCCCTTGATAGAACTCCAACGAGGAGGGAAAGAAGGATAATAACTATGCCAGCTACGAAGTACCTAATTCAGTTTCACCGTAAGCCCACCGGCTATATCGAATAATTAAGTTCCGGCGTCTATCACAATTACCGCTAAAAGCACTTCAATTAAAATCCTATGGAACTTAATGCCTTCAGCCGGCGAAGCGTGTCCGTGGGGGGGTGGCAACTACTGGGTTCCAAAGAAATAGGGGGTTGTGGATATCCTGCTATTTTTTCACCCTCGAATGGGTCCGCGATGATGACGGAATGATCCAAGTATTAGAATTCAATTATTTAAACAGCCCAGTGGCCTAAAATCGTCAATTTTACCCGCGCGGAGGGAAATAATCACCGAAAATTACTGGTATCGTATCAGGGAACGTGACATGTTTCACTGTCACTGATCAAATCTCATGAAAAATTCATAAAAAATCATTGCAGTTCGCTGGAATATTTACGGGCAGGGCAATAACTTTCTCTGGACTGATCCTCAATTTTCTCCCAAGTTCATTTAATCCTCAGTCCGGTAATTTTTAATACGATTCTTGTACGAATTTTTAATGGAAATTTCTCTCCGTGCTGGTGTAGGTGTAGATGTAGATGGAAAAAATCAAGGAAAGTTCAACGGTCAATCATTAGGTGACGAGTTAGGGACAATTTTTATTTGCCGGACTTGACGGTGACGAGACGGTACACGAGGGTATTTCATTTGAACGCTCTATGGTATTTTTCATTTCGGCAACTTGCCGGAAAGAGTAATAAGAGATGATGTGAGTGCATGCGGCTAATATATCCGGGATAAACGCCGCGCGTCGTTTTTTTCATATGAATATTTTTTGCTAACTTCATGAAATTTCATAATATCAGAGAAATAATGAGAAAATTATTAATAACGTATTTATTAAGAGAACGGTGAGATCGTATATGGAGTATATTGAAACGTGATTAATTATACACCCAAAATCTATATATACAACGATGTATATATTAAAAATTATATCACTAATGCTTTAAAAGGACTTGTAATCAATACGTACCTTGAAACGAAGTAATTCCATTTTTCTAGATTATGTGAGAATATATTCAAGCAAATGATATATTAAAGTGATAAATTCTATATATCATATATTGTTTTTTACCATTGACGAGTCAAAATAGCATTTGATATTGAATATTGGATATATTATATGAAAAAATCGCATTAGCTGAAATTTAAGTACTTACGCATATCTTTTTTCATTTCCTTCATTTTTCACTTTTATTTTTCTGTAATAGACACTATCTATATTTCGTGAGGCATAATTTATTTAGGCAATAGGTAAATACTTGTGTCACACTAGATTAATTAATGAAGAAGAATTCTACAACTTCTTAAGTATAATGAAGAAATACAAGGAAGATATAATTAATGTGAAAATACTATAATAATTTACTTTAGGCAATACCTACCCTAGGAGTCTAATAACTAGTTAGATCGATATAATAATATTAATTTCTTTTTGCGAACTGTATACGTTCCTATTATTGATATTGAATATTATATATTTACCTAGCGGAATAGATTTGATGAAGAGACGTATTAAATACAGTTATTAGAATTAGTATAATGTCATTAAAATCGTTCTCCGTGGAAGATATAATTGTAGATTATAATTCAGCAGTTATATCACACAACTGAATATATCGTCGTGTAATCTTCCATTGAGAACGAGTGGCTGATCTACGCAATACTATCAAAAAAGATAATATTAACGATAATCCGCCAAAGATATATATCAGCCGCAATATATTAGTCAGAATATACCTCCTAGCAGGTATAATATATACAATATATCATATACCCGTAAATTTTGTCTCAACCTTTCACCTTTTGAGTGTTTCGTGGTAATAATTAACAGAACAACAATAACTATTAAACCTATTATATTTCACAATTACGTACCTTATATATTATTAATGCGTGAGACGTGTGCCCTAGAAAGTACATACTATGCCCGTGAGGCTCATCACAATCAGTTTCGTAAGTAGAACCAGATAAATCTACCAGGTTTTTTTTTTCATATTTTCATTTGTATTATTTATTTTATTTTTTTGTATTATACATTGTTGGGCCGGTTTTTCATCACACGTGGATATAATCAATCCTATATATTGTCCTTCTATTTAAGAAAGAATATATACAGATATCTGATCGTCACGATGAATTATATAAAAATTCAATAGCTCAATAAATCTGGAGTAGTTTCAATTGAGATGTAAATTTAATAGCCTCTCAAGTATACCATATCTGTGAAGTAATTTCGGATTAAATTCCCTTCTCTCAACCTACTAACATTTCTGCCTGAGCTGATAAATGTTCTCGCAATAGGATTATCCCCCCACCTCCCCCCCCCCCCCCCCCCCCCCCCCCCCTCTTCCTCGGTAAAGTAAATTTTTTCCTTTAAAATTTATATTAATCTCATGAAAATGTTAAAATAACGACATGAATAAAGGATGTAATATCGGTTTGAGCCATCATTCAATTTCAATTACTGTCTTCCCGATTTATTTCAACCGGTACTTGCAATATTTCAAATATACTATTGAACGTATGATACAAAGATAAATCCGACGCCTTGACATTATCAAAACCAGCCCGGTAGACAATTAGGTACGAATACTAACTAAAATATTTAATCTATATCTATGAGTGTATATTATTTGAAAAATTAGCATAGAGAGAGAATAATAATAAACAGAGAGAAAAAATGCTAAATAATTGTTCATCTGCGTTATAGTCTTTGGAGAGCAATATATTTACATTGAATATTCAATATGGAGATTAGATAACTAGCGAGTCAGTAGTTGTAGTATTGTGGTTTCGGTGTTTAACATTTAATATTGTATTATTATTATTATTATTATTTTTTATCGTCGAATCTAAATGTCGTAGTGTGTCAGCAATTTGTTGGGCTGAAAGACCTCCCACCGAAAAATATAATGGTTAGCGTGCCGCGCTCTAGATCATTATCATCCGGGAAAAAAAAATATAATAATGAGGTGAAGAATGGGGGAGAAAGCCATTTTAATGACCAAGAAATTCATTATGACGATTTCCAGGTAAAAAATACATTGTGACTATATTTTGATACCCAACAAATGTCTGACACTTTAGTCGTCGAATTATAAGATAAGCCTACATAGAAGAGAGCCTAGATATACCACGATTATAATTGACATTGTAATATCACCAACTAACAAAAAAATGATATTGTAAAAGCTGAAGAATATTAACCATAGAGATATACTAGGATTAATAGGAATTATTTTGTCGTAGACATTGGGACTTCCTTATCGATCGCGTCAGTAGAATATATTAGATATTGTACCTATATAAAGGACACATGAGAAAATACCAGAACTAGTACGATATTGAAGTGATAGTGCGATATAGTTATTTTTTTATATATATTTTTTAATAGTTGTGTGGTTTATTGATTTAAAACTTAGTATCCAAATTATGAAATTTCATGGATGCCAATTATTTCTATCTAACCTAGTCAAGCTTCAGTCCTCTTCATTATCATTTCCTTTATTATCTTCTGAAAGATTCTATTCAATTCTTTCTGTTTTACTCTACCTCTCACTATTTATACCGTATAACTGGGGAATTTCTGCAACGTATACTCATTATTTTTTATCTCCAAGCTTTGCTTAATATTTCCGTGTAAATAAAAGATGTATGATTCCACGTGTTCGCTATTTTTATCCATGCGTAGGTTGCAGAAATTCTTAAGGGATTATACATCACGTGAGAGAGAAAGAAAATGAGTGAATATATGAGAGAAAATAATATATCACTTTTCCAAGGATCATATCCTCATTTATATTCAATATTCATTATATTAATCATTTCGTTTTTTTGTAGATTTTATGTGGTCACTGGGAGCATTACCTGATGGTGAGTATATCATTAATCACGAATTGTATCAAATGAATATATTATATCTCGGTCTGGTTTCATAGAAACGTGTTGAATTTTGGTGGAATTAATACATTGAATCGATCGAAGAAGGAAATAACATGAATAATTTCTTAACAATAAATTATTTATGTTGAAAACAGGTTTCCCAGCGGCAGCGTACGCGGCATACGCGGCAGGCCGCGGCTATTCTGGGTACCCTAGTTTCGGACTACCCTATCCGACAGGTAACCACCTTAGCCTTAACCACCTTAACCACCATAATACAGGCCACATCGCGCCCCTTAACCTCAACTTGAACCACATACAGGCGCAACCAACGACCCACCACAATCCACCAACCCCAACTGCACTCTTTTATCATCCCAATTTGGACCTATACAATGCCATGCCTCTGTGAACTAACTCGTTACGTGCATTTACAACAGTACAACAATGCTATTACAAATTGCACATATCTTAATTGAATGCTGCAAACCATGACTTCTATCCTCACAACTTTGTGTTATTGATACGACAAACTCGAGTCATTGAGACAACAACAACGAATTTTACGCATCAATCATGCTGTACAAATTACTTAAGGGTAAAATAATGGATTCAAACTGAGTTATCACGTTTTTTTTTTCACTCGGCTGCAATGCATCAGTGGAATCGATCAATCGATTGCTAACTCCATTTTAATATACTCGAAACTGTATCGATGGTGAATACTCCATGCAAATGAGCTAGTCCATGTACTGACTCTCTTATTCCCATATATCCACCCTCGTATCGAATCGATGAGTCTATCAGATTGATGTGGCACACTCAAAGAGAAATATGAATGCTCCCGCGTATTCGATAGCTCTCCAGAACAGCTGGAAAGGAGGTAATTATCGGTGTAGGTATGGGGTTATTTTTGTGGGTCAAGTTGATGGTATTAAAGTACGGGGGAGGTTATTATATTGGATTTGGCGGGAAATCCAGGGGCTCGGTCAAGTCTAGCGCGAAGTACATATCTCCCGCTTACCCCCACATCCATTTTCACTCCATCATCATTTTTCCTACCATATTAGCTCATCATTTCAATTTATTCTGTTGCTTTAATATCGGCTTTATTTAATCAATCAACCGAAACTCGAGAGACATGTTTTGGTGCACCTTGCGTGGGACATTGGAGACTAATGATCAAACAGTAGACTAACCAATCGGCATGAATTTTAACAGAAGATTAAATTAATTAATCATAAAACATGTACCAGAAAAACTGCTTTATCGTTTTTTAATTCACCCTGTGGTATAATCCTGTGTTTTTCGGACGTTGATGATGCTCCAGAAAAGACACGAATTCCGTCCGCTTTCCGGTGAGACCCTGAATATAGGAGAGAAAAAAAAGCACACATTTTTTTTTTCCTTTGGAAAAACAGTTCACGAGGCATGGCGGCACCAAGGGACAGTCGTATAACGTATGAGGGCAGTCCATCCCTCATTTTTACTCAATCCCCATTGTCCCCCATCGTCAATGTCCGAAAAACACTCACCGGAATTTTTTTGGCCGTCTGATTTCTCCGGGGAATCCCCTCGGATAATTTCCCCGATGTAATTCAATGAAGTTATAATCGTTCACGCGAATTGAAAGCAGTTTCTCTGGTACACGTTTTTTTTTTCTCCACCGCTTGAATAATTAGAGCTTGTGGGTAGTTCTTGGAAACGACCAGTAGTTTGCGTAGAGAACATGAAGAGAAAATTATTCGAAATTCAAATTTGTTATATTTTTTTTTCAATAGAAACATGAATGATTGGTAAATAGGGATTTAGATGAGGGTATGGTGGTAATTTGCAGGTGCACTGGGACTACCTACCCTCAGTACAGGAGACACCCAGCTACACAGCTACTCCACAGAATACAGAATCATTCCCGAGCAATGAGAAAAACATTATAATTACTGTTAGGAGAGCGGTTCGAGTGCTACAGTATCATCTAGTGAATTTTAATATCATCTAGTGATTTATTTGAGTGAAGTGAAATAAAAGAAAATTATTATTCTTCTGTAACGCAGTGTTGCCAGGTATCAATTTTCTTTGGTCGATAAAATATCAGTCATCAACTCAACTGTCTGAAGGTACGCCACATTTTCCATTTTCATTCATTTGACTGTTCAGAAAATTCGAGGGACTTTTTTTTCTTGGCAACACTGCGCTATCGTCACGCCTCCTTCCGTCAGAAAACTTAAATAGGCGTTTCACCATCGAAAGATGAGGACTGGAATAGTATTTTTCATCCAATATAGAAATTCGCGAAAAAAAAAATCGCAATCCGTCGAAGCACCCACTCGTTTATTTTATCTCGGTAACTGTCATCCAAAATTCGTTTGCTCTTCATGGCATGCACTCATCGTTATTACGTTTTTTTAATCCCTCGCGAAGTATTTTCATTCCCTCCACTATTCAATTTCTTTAGCCACCATTTCCCCGATTCGACTCTTCGGTAAATGAAAACGCTTTTCCTCCGTTCGAATATGTAAACATTGTAAATATTGTTCGTTATAGGATATTGAAGAGAGAAAAAAAAACTATTGTATGTATGAATGGACTGGGATGGGTTTTATCATTGCATATAAATTTTAAGTACACAGGGCACCACCGAATTTCGTGTTTTTAGATATTGACATTGCAACAGCTAGCGGGTTTGTTGATTTTACGACGTCCACTCGACGCCAATACAGGTGGCGACACTTACGGGGTCAATTTCATTTAATTCTCAACCCAAGATACATCATGATCCTCCCAACACTCAAAATCGATTCTATGATTAGTTTATAATTCCGAACTGTTGGCATTAAATCGAGTGAAAAGTTATTTTTCCCTCAATTATTTATTTATTGAAAATGATTTAACCATTTTCAACGCCACCCGTTCACCCATTCCTCCACAATAACCTATTCATTAAATAAAAAAAAACCCCAAAAATTGTAAATATATATTCACCACCTGTATATTAATCCCAGAGTTGATAAATACCAATTAATGGCGATAAATTAACGAGGCGATAACGAATATGAAATAAAACAACACCCAAATGTTATTCAGATACTCAACAACGTATTCATAAAACACCAAATATAAATATATGTAAAATACACGTACAATTGTTCCACCAGGACAGAGGATGCATGTGTCAATTCCTGGCAGTAATTCTATCGAAATTTTTTTAATTGATACCATAAACATCGATTGATTATTATTTAAACAACTCATAACTGTTATCGGTGTTTTATTCGACGTAAATCAACAGTGAATAATTCCATTAATACGTACGTACATGGAGAATGACAAAAATAAATTGAAAAACAAAATTATTTATAACTTAGTTAAAGCATTGTTTGGATACGACAAATGTTCACAGACGCATGGCTGGCAAACTCAGTGGTCCTACGTCAAGCAAAGCGTCGCCTGCCTCCACCCCCATTCCATTAGGTATATTCAGCGATTTGAAAAAAAAAAAATAACCCAAACCGAATAGATAACAAATTTTTGAATAACCAAAAATTCGATACATGGAAGAATTCAATTATTTACTTTCCAACCGAGGATGAAAGAGAAATGTCTAATGGAGAAATAATCGGCATTAATTTTTCCACGCAATTGCTAAAGAATTTTGCAAAACCGTCCCCAGTATTTCTCTTTCACTTCCTCCATCATAATTTTTTTTTATTATCAATTACTTTCCATAATTAAATTAACGAATGAAATGTCATCGAGAAGAAAAATCAAACGTCCGAATCTAGGATGCCCAAAGGCAAGAGTGCAAAAATATTCTAAAAAATATTTATTTTATTTATCATTAAATAAATAAATCAATGTGATCAGAAAAAAGCTAACGGAGGTAATTAATGGCCCATTAACTTGTCTCGCGCTCTTTTTCTATTTCTCTCACATCGATTAATCACAGAAACGGCAATGGAAGATGCAATAAACAATAAAAAAAAAGAGAAAAAACCCAGTAAAAACAATTATTCAAAAGACAGCAGTTTAAAAAATTGTGAATCTTAAACGTGTTTCTCTAGTAGTCGTTGCGTAGTTATTTGTAGTTAAAGTTCTAATGTAATCACTTAAGATTAAACAGGCAGATTATGAGAAGAAGCTTTTAATCAAAAAGATCACTCTAGCATAGGTAAATAGGTAAATAACATAGATATCTAGGGTTTGGGGGTTATGTGCGAGCAGAGGACATTATTCTTTCAATCCGAGGGATTAAACCCTATTTTTCGCTCACAATGTGAAAAATAATTGCTAATCTGAGTAATTAATCCCTCGGTACAATCACTCTCCCGTGAAGATAATCATTAATCAATCGACATAACCCACTTCTTTATAAACAATGCAGGTTATGAATAACCTACATCTCCCCAGAAATTCATAAAATCGTGAAAATAACGACGTGAAGCATTAAAAATACACCTCGCGAATTATTTTCACCCGGCGAGCAACGCTCGATCATTCGCAAACTCACCTGCAGTTTATGTTCACGGTAGACTGATGCACAACTTTTTTTTTTTTCCTCTCGCTGCATCGCTGATAAAACATAACCCCCCGTCGAGTCTGCTAACCATGAAAAATTAATACCGCTAATCGTAGTGTAAGACCTCCGCCCCATTAGGCAAAATAAAGACAAAAAAATAAAAAGAGTTCCGAGAGATATTAAATAATCAACAATTGAATGAAAAATTCAAATAATACGCCACATTTAGAGTTGAGAGAAACTTCTTTGACATTTAATAATGATTATTGATGATGAGTCAGTGATGAACCGCCCAGGGCCAAATCAGCAGATTTATTCATTTCGAGCGATTATTGTTTATCTGTTTGTTTAGTCGAACAATTTTATCCAGATAAGACTTGTATCCTCAAATTTCTTCCATTCCTCTCTGAAAAATCTAATTGATGAAAAAAATCAAAATAAAAATAATTGTGAATATATTTTTGTCAGCGAATGATCTGTGATCCGTTTGTTTTCTTCGCGTCGTTATTCCGTTTGTGATTTAATTGTAAAAATAATCTCGTTATGATTATCGTATTTGCGAAGGACGACGCGCCTCCGTCCCTTGTCCCTCGTTGAGATGTTTTGAGGTGACTTCAGTGAAGCCAATGATTTCTATAAATTCAGAGGATTATGGGAGAATTTTATTCAAAAGAGATATGCATTCAAAAAAAATCAACTCCATCGTGAAAAATTGAATATTTAAATATTCAAGAATAAAGAAAAAAAACACAAAACCATCTGTCCTGAGCTTACATTTGTTATTACATAATGCTTAACGATATTATAATATTTTTATGCGTACCTGCAGTTCGCTCGTATTATAATTAAATCCATATTCATAACAATGAATTTTAAATGATCTCGCACTAAATTCAATAGATACACAATCGATTGTGATAATACGATCGAACTACAGTTGAATTGTTGCTATTCGTAAGAATTGTTGTTATAACCTGCGATAATAACCGCGCGGTTTTCGTGTTTTGTGCAATTCACTCATGAATCGGAACTCTCAGGGAGTTATTTTTTCATCGATCGTGATGTCGCTCGATCGTTGAAAAATACGACAAGACACGAGAATTAAGATTGAGAAGAGGTTAAATTCTGAGATGCCCAAGTGTTTTTTTTTTGACATCTGAAAGAATTTTTGTGCATCGGAGGTCGCTCTGAAAAATAATTTAAAAAGAAGAATAAGAACTGTCTGAGATGTATTTGAATGGAGAAAGCTGTAAGAAATATGATTCGCTGAAAAATGCTCTATTATAACGATTAAGAATTATAATTCATAAATGTCTGTAATAAATAAAAAATGAAAGAAGATGAAAAACGAACAAGTCGAGTTTCACGAGCCTGGGGATGGTGGATTTTTTTGCCAGGAAAAATAATAATCTATTCTTCATCATCTCCAATAGCAGCAAAACCCCAAATCGCTCTAGATTTAGCATTAACCCCGCCAACTATGAGCTAGGCCATGCAATCTAAATACATCACGTAGTACCAAATTTAATAATTCATTTCTTCCGTATTATCTGCAGGTTTGAATTAATAATTATTCCATTTCAAACTTCCCAAAGTGAATAATTAAATCCAATTTTGGGAATTACGGATTGCCCCAGGCAACTGTAATAAATACATCAAAAGAGTTGGGAAGTTTGAAATAGTGGAGGCAGAGAAAAAAAGTTTCTACTCTATCTTGCCAAAAAAAAAAAAACCACAATGAAGTTCGCCCGAGTCGCGCCCTCTGGACGGTCTCCTCATTGGCCGATCCAATCGACGGGTGCAAGGCGGGTAATTTAAATGCGGTGCGCAATCAGTCTCGTTTGAACTTTCTTCTGTTCGGAAAGTTAGTTTTTCTTCTTTTGGTTGAAGAAAGTTTTTCTCTCTGCGACTGTCTATATGAGGTATATGAAGAAATAGTGAAACAAAAAAAAAAGATGATGTCTGTTGTTTGGTTAGGAGCGGTAGTGTACCGCGCAGTGGGTCCAAGAGTTGGTCGAGTGTCCGTGAGCCCAAGTACGGGTTGCACCGGTAAGCTACAACCCCAAAGTGCAACATTATTTCACCAAGTTCTCGTGTACTCGTACCAACGGTAACCGTAATCCTTAGCCACCGTAGATACATACATATATACGTTATATCTATTCTGTCTTTATCTCACGTACACGCAAAACACGGGGGATAAAGTGCAGAGCAAGAACTCTTGAGAGGTTATGTCCCTGTGGGTATAAGAAACCATTGGGTACATAACGGCTAACAAAAAGTTATCAGCAATGGGTTTTTCCACTGGGTAAATCTGTGAAGCACCTCTAAACCTCACCGAGTGTAAGGGCAAATACAATTGAGTAAAGTTTGAGTTAATTATTTCAATACACCCTCGCAAAACCGCTGTACAATGCACGTGGAAAACCGCAAGGTGCGTTTTCATGGGAAAATTTTGGAATCCAATGGGAGAGCGTTTTCATTAATGTGAAACAATCAACCACTGGAGAAACTCATGTTTCAATTAAGCTGAGTGACTTTTAATTTAAAAATTCACTGCACTCTGAATTATTAAAAAGTAGAGAAATTACATCGATGAGATTTTTGTCATCATCATTGATTAATTTTTTGCTTACGGATTGACACTACACAACTCAGACTAGAATAGATATTTTTCAAATGATTCATGTGAATATATATAATGATATATATGTATAACTTGAAACCCGTATATTGAAATGGTGTTGGATGGATTGGCCTAGCTCATAGTAACTAGAATTTTCCAACTACTTTCACTTTGACTCATTGACTGATCGAGCTGTTCCTTTCTTTTGTTCATTAAAATAAAAAACAATGCATAGTTTTCACTAGAACTTAGACCGAGCATGCACAAATGCTGTATAATTGATAAAACTCATTAACGTAAAATTAATGTTGAAAGTTTATCGTTGAAAAGTTGAGTTTTCAGGACATTTTATGCATGCCCCTATATCTGGTAGTTCTAGTGAAAACTCTCGGCAATCGTGCAGTGAATACTAACTCGCAGGGGGATGTGTCGATTTTTTTTTTTTATTCTTCATTTCAAATGTCAAAATGAGGGTATATATTTGATACGAGGAAGAGCATAATGCAGAGGTCCTTCGTCGAACTGAAAATAAAACATGAAAATTGAGAGGAGCCTGCCTCGAAGATGCCACAGAAACCTAGCGGCGAGTAATATCTACCAATCTAACTATAAAAAATATATCAGAGGAATACAGAATCCCAATATTAATTAGCGAAGAGATTAACATGAATTATGTCGTCGTAGTAAACAATAGATATTCCAAATTCATAAAAATTTTCATTTTTAGATTGAAAATAATATTTAATATTCCAGTAGTGAAGCAGTTGTGTTAAATTTCAATTATATTCATTTGATTTTTGGTAAAAAATTCAATTAGTCAGATTATCTTCAAGATTATAATACACCAGAATATCAGAGTAATTTACAATATTATGTAATTGGATATAATTTTTTATCGTCATTTTGTGTCAATGTCTATTATTTATTTCTTTCGTAAATAATTAAAAGAATAGTGATGAGTAGTGAGAGAAGGAGTTGTGAGAGCTTAGAATAGTCCGTAGTAATAGTGCGAGTGGATTTTCGTATGAAACTCCCTCATGTGTGTGAGTGTTACCGTAAAAACAAAGCGTTTTACATAAACGTTGAGAATAAGAAGCTAGACCTAATGCCTAACACCTAGAAATCGTCAAAGTGCTGTTCAAACACTGACAATGAACGTCTAAAACTTATACTCATTAGTACTAGATCAATAGACTAGAGGAATACAGAATTACACGTGTAGTATTTTGTAAACTTTCCTCTGTTCACCCATCACTCAAGATCATCCATCCGAATAACAATCACCCGCAACCAAAAATATTGAGAGAAAGAGACTTACGCCCTTGATAATCTCTCTCCATCAGCAGTTTCAAATTCCCCATACTAAAATCATTCAATCCGTTCATCATACTATCATTTGCAATCAACAAATTAACTCCCCGTTGGCTAACAGCTGTAATATAACTTATTCACAAAGTTCATTTGCCCATGTAACGACTCTTTCGTTTTGTCTCGCCCCTACCTTTCCTCATATTGAGACAAGTGGACCGCCAAAAAAATATATGTAATAAACGTCTTACCCAAACGGTGAACAGTTCCTTTTTATATCCCAAGAGATGATAGTTGAGATCCACTTGGCCAATCGTGGCGGAGAGTATCCCATCGGATTTTGTCCATCATCCCTCCCAACTTGACTCTCTTATCCAGCAGTCTCGATCGCTTCTACGTCAGCTGCGAAATATACTCGAAATAGATGAACTCTTGGCCTACATCATTCCACATACACGTCTCACCCCTCACCAGCAAGAGCCATCCCTCATTTCTCTCCCCATTATTTCTTCCTTCCCCATTTCCACAGAGAGTGCACAACAGTTTTGCCGAAAAAAAAAATCGGGGTTTCAACTGAGATATACCACTTCCCTATCGTGTCCCCAGAACATTCTACTCCCCAATATTTAATTCCCGAAACGTTCGATATCTCAACTCGGAAACTTATTTCAAATAAAAAGAAAAAGGGACGAAATAGTCATTGAAAGTGCCATGTGTTGAGGTCACGAGGTCGAAGGGCGAGATAACGATATTTTCTCCCTTTGTCTTGAACTTCCATCTCCATTCCGGGAAAACATACCATCTAATCGAAGATATCAAGATACACGCGATCCTATCGTCCAAGGCCCGACCCTCTTATTGCAGATATCTCTTCTTGTACTTGTGATCGTGATTTTTTATGATTTCTCACGTGAAATCCCGTGTGCGCTCTTGCTACCAGGCCAAGTTGTTTTTATGTCCTTAGCCACTGATTTCTTTTTTTTTTCTCCTCGTCGCACTTCTCCCCCTTTGGACTTATCCCCGAGGCTAACAAAAGTTACTGGACGGTAATCCGCTTTTATTCTCAGTCGTTCTCGCGAGGCCTCTTCAACGTGTATCCTTACCTTCCCTCTTTTCTCCGGTTTCTCTGTTCCTCTCCCATCGGAAAATATCCGTAATAGTGGGGGAAACTACAGGAGGAAATTACAGTTTTTTTATTATTTACTCTTAGGGTGAAGCCTCACGTTTATATTTTCTAATTTTCTTATTCATTTCCTTATTTGTACATTTCGTTGAGAAATCGTTTCAATTGAGAGGCCGAAGTCGATTAAAATGTCTGTCAAATAACTGATGATGACGACATCTTGATTTTAATATGGCGGCAGTCACCACTTCGCGTTTTCAACTCATCATTAAAATTAAATGTGTTATTAGAATCAAGTCGAATTTATTTTATCCTGTTCCTGAGGAGTGAACAATTTTTTACAGACATTTTCAATCAATTTCCCATTTTTATAATTAATCTCTCTATTTTTATGATTAATCACCTGACAAAGCGAATAGAGTCAGTTTCAACAGGCAATGAACAAAGAAGCCCTTGAAATTTCAATTCCTGAAAAGTTAGATTCACCGAAACGAGAATTAAATAAAATGTACAGTTGTAAATCTGAGATTTATGTTTCAGTGGATCTCACCAATGGACAACTCACACCCAACAACAACACGCCCTTGCTCACGCAAGCTCTTTCTGGTACGTCTTCTCAACTTTTCTTTGTTCTTCTCGTCATTGTTCTCGTTTCTGAAAAAAAAATGTTGATTCTCGTACACGGCACAAGTTTTTTCACGTGAGATTCGTTGTAGAAATAAACAAAACAAAAAAGTGAATGTGTATGCACGGTGCAACCTCTAGAGAGCTTGGAGATGAATCTCTGGTCCGGGAGACCTCCGAGGAAGACGTTTTACCCGGGTTAGAACGTATGTGGGACGACACTGTGCCTTCGGCTATGCGCGACTTCCATCTCCCTTTCATAATTCCTTTTTTTTTCTTCTATTCCCTTCTCTCCACTTGAGAGGAGAATCCAACCGCGATATCCTACCCCTGCCGTCCGCAATCTTCTTTCAAATAAATCAAACTTTTGAATTGCCCGCGCCCTACGGGCCCCTCCACACACACCTATGTTCACTCGTGTTCACGCGTTATGATGAAGTGGTGGGGGGGATGAGAGCCGGCAACACTGTGAAAAACTTTGTAACCGCTCTCGGCCCATTGTCGAGAGTTTAAAAGCTGAATGGGTTTTTAGATTGTACGCCACGCCGTTCGGTTTGTCATCATGTGGCGCCGAGAATTTCTCTTCACCTTTTTTTTCTTCTTCTCCCTTTACCTCAACGTACAGCAGCGAGTTTGAAATTCTTATACCCCGCACGATAAATTCTCGTGGGTGGAGAATTCTTGGTAAACTTTTTCCGTGCCGCGAAAATCAACAGCAAATCGATTGGCTTTCGTTTTACTTCGTGGATGCATTTGCCGCATGATTATCTGTATAACCCAACTAACACCTGAAGTTGCTCGAGACGAAGAGGAATTATTGGAATTATTCACTTTGGGTCCTAGGCTGAAAATATCTTTTACTGCGGTGTGAAGGGAGCGACAGGTGCTTGCGAGGAGATTGATGGCTGTGTCAGTGGTGGTATTTGATTTTTGATTATTTTCAGTGATGAACAACTACCAAGCAGCGCAAGCTGGATTTCCACCAGCTTCACCACATGGCGCCGGTGGCCATGGTGGTCCACAGGGGCGTTCCTTTCCCGCTGCCAATTCACCCGGCCCCATTGACATGTACAGTTCGAGTGCAGCAGCCGCAGCAGCAGCCGCAGCAGCTGATTCTGCTGTTGCAAGCTACGTCCAGGCAGCAGCCAGTCCACAGCCACCAACCACCGCGTTTCCCGCCATTGCCGTTTCCCGCGCACCGCTCAACTACAGTCCTGTAAGTGAAATTCTATCATAATAGGCTTTATCATTGCCACCAATAATGCTACTATTTTTATTCTCGTTCATGGTTGATCTGTACACAGACCATTACTAACGCTACTAAATAGCTTTTACACGATATATATTTTTTTCTTTAATGTTTTTATGTATTTAGTGGTTTGTCATGTTTGAGGATGTAATAATGACGTTTTGTTTACGTTGGGCTTATTGATGTTCCAGGGTCCCCTGATACCGGCGGCGTTTACTAATGGCTACCATTGAGCCTTGTTAAGACCTAACAACATGTGAGTAATCCATGAGATAGTGTTTACACTCTTTTTTTTTCTCTCAACTGTTTATGAAGCCGCAATCTTTCTAACGATAACGACTTCTCGGTGGGAGGAGACGATTGCGCTGACTTTTGAGGTTTGAGACTCGAGGAATGATCTATTCAGCTTTTACTGGATATAATACCGCTGAGGGCTCGTTCGTAGTTCGTAGGTTATTCGATTGATTGATAGTTACGCCTGTTTGGTTGTAGGATGGACGAGAGGGCACAGCGCGGCAGGATCGACTGATGGCACAACGAGCAACATGAGGAAGACGCCTTTCAGCCTCCACCCTTTGACGTCACTCTCTGGACACAAAAAAAAATATAAATAAATCATGGAAGAGATCATTCCCAGGCAACAATGGGTAAGCGAGTGGAATTTTTGTAAAAATGTGGATCGGTCTTACGTCCACCGGAAGTGAATGCAGTATGGTGGGATGATTCATGGATCAGAACGAGTCAGCAATGGAGAGCAGCTGGTGAAGACGGTGGGAAAAACTATGGAAAATGCGATTTAAAAAAAATGATAAAAAAATGTAAAATGTTCAGGGAGTGTTCATGAGCGGAGGGGATGAAAGATAATGGTTGAGAGGGAAGAGATGGGAGCACCACAGGCACCACACATCACACGTCGCGTCTGTCATACGATATGAGGAATGAAATAACATAACAAGATATTGCAAGAAAAAATTATTAAAATATATATATAATTCTATATATATATGCGCGCACGCCCGTTCTCCGACATTAATGAATAATAAATAAAAATAAACAAAAAAAAATATTGATAACAAAAAAATTAATAATTATTAATTGCTAAATAATTAAGCGGTTAAGTCTATAATATATATATATGATAAATAATTGATAATTAAATAGACAACGTATGAAACACTAGGACTTAAGAATGAAAAAAATAAATAATTATTATTATTGACGATGAGAGGAGGAGGAGAATACCAACACACATACGAACAAAGGAAAATAACAATTCAAGTTTTGACATTTTGTTATTTTTAAGTCATTAAATTTTAATGGATTACACGTTTTCGTTTTTGCACCCGGGATGCTTTAATGTGAATCTGAATGACACGATTAATTGGATTATATTATTGCAATGGTTCAATGATTGAGAGTTAATGTTTCGGTACCCATTATTTTTTTTTGTCCCTGAATTCTCACTTTTCCTTCCCGGAAGTGCAGATCAACAGATGACGGATGATCGATTGTTTTTCTTAACGATTATTTATATTGCGATAAAATTTTTGCTGAAATGGTACAGACAAATACACACAAAAAAATCAGGTGGTCTTCCTATTCATTGGAATGAACATTTTTTGGCACTATATATAACGAAGATGAAAGGTCTATATATATTAATGAATTTATCGATTACTTTCTCTTTGAACCTCACAACAACACGCGCTCGAACAAGTTTAAATATTGAAGATTAATGAGTTTATTTGCATTGATCCAGTCACGATACGTATATTGAATAATTTCAAATATCATTGTTTGCTCTGATGAGTCAATCGGTAAAGTGATGAGGGAGGATAATACGGAGACACGTTCAACATTTTTTCAATACCCAACACTTTTATTTCAATGGAATAAACAACAAGCCAATTTAATGATTGCACAAAGCACTCACAATGACGGTTAAATAATTAATGATTATTCATTTGCTGGTGAATCCACTCGATGAAGAGAAAAACTTAAATTGCTTAGGTTAGGTTCTAAGATCTAAAAAATGTGCACAACCGCTCGAAAGGAAATATGGCGGTTGTGAAATATCTTGTTTTTTGTTGACACGATTATTAACTATTTATTACGACTATTATTATTAAATTTTTCAAATAAAATTATTATAATGTGAATATATGTATGATGAATTATGATAAAAAAAAAACGGTTATATTGTATTCAACAACAGGGTAAAAATAATAAGAAGAATGTGTAATTCCTGGGACGCACGTGTTTCAATGGCGAGACGGCGGCCATTTTGTCGTCGTTTAATTGATGATTTTCTTGGAAGGTGTGATTGCAGGAGGGAAGAGGCAAAATCTGCCTGGTGTCAATTCAATCGTCAAAGTTAGTCAGTGAATAAGGTACGAACGAATCAAATCTTTTGAATAGTCGATGAAAATAAAAAAATGATTAAAATTCCTGCGTTCACAAAATGGCCGCCACTTTTGTTCACGTCCCAGAGCTAACCTAACTAAAATGCGTGTATAAAAGAGATTATACATTGGACCAAAAAAAAAAGCACTTGGCATCCACAAGAGATTGTTTTACACATTAAAAAAAAACACAAGAACACTCACTTACGTAAAAACAAAGTGTCTCCGGATAAGAATTTAAAAGTATCCACTTCCGTTAATTAACAATTACTTTCAATGATTTTCATCAATGAACGAAGTGGCGTCGAATTTTTAACTCTTTGTTTTTGCCTGCGACGAGAAGGAAAAGAAGAAAAAAAAAACATCCGTAAGATTAAAAAAAAAATACCATAAAACGAATAAGAAATAAAATATATTTACAAATTAAGGAAAAAATATATATAAATATTATATAAAAATGGCGCTCTTTTACCGTCAAAAAAAAAACAAACCTCTAAATAGCTTCGCAATTAATTCAAGAGCAATTAATTTTGTTAATTAAATGAATGAAGCAGGAATAAACGAAGAATTTTAGCCAGGCGCAATTAAATGAATTAAATGAACAAGAAATGAACACGTGATTGAAGTATCCTTAAAACACAGAATGTGAATGTAATAAAAGAAATTGAAGGGATGGAAAGGGCTAATAATAAAACAACACTACAAGGATATAACACCAGCTCAATGAAACAAAATAAAAATTAAACACATATTTGAATTATATGAATTGACGAAGGAATAACATTTTAAAAAATGTAACGGACAATTCACACTTTAGAAATTGAAAAGAAAAAACGTTGTAACATGTTTTCAGGCGATCTGAGGCTCTCCGAAACCTCAACATTAAACAAAAAAAAAACAAAATATATATAAAGCATAATAACCAACAATTAACGATCAATTATTGAATGAGGGGAGATAGGAAGAGGCAAAATGAACGAGCAATGAGTGTAAGCAAACAAAGAGGAAAAATACGAGTACAGTCCATAAGTTTATATATATGATATAAATAAATATTGAATTATTACGTCTATATCTATATCCGGCAAAAAAAAATAATGAAATTAATTTTAAAGAAACAAAATACATGAACGCGTGGGAGAGGAATATAGAATGGCAAAAATTAAAAAGTAACTAATGAAAGAATGAAAATTAATTAACAATTATATATGAATTAAAGACTAAGTTGATTTACCAATTACAAAACAGAAAATGGGGGCAGAAATATAAATGAAAATGAAATTGTTTTATGCATTTGTATATAATTATTGATGTTTTAAACAAATGAATGCTGATATTATAATATTGTATTGTAATTTTTTCGATCACCGATCATATAAAAACAAAATGGAGGAGTTGACGCGATTGAATTTTTTTTTTTTCAGGACTGGAAATTGTTGCAAAAATCATAAACTCTTTTGCCGCTCTTTCTTTTTACACTGGAAATAAATAATGGGAGGAAATATAAAAACCGTGCGACATTTGGAGAGTTATTGGTAGTAAAAAAATAGACGGTAAGTGTTCGGTCGTTGGAAATTCAGTCGCGCCTTCTCTCCCATGATTCTATATATATATATAAATATTATACATATACGATGGTAAATAAAAATTTTAAAACGAGGGAAACCCAACATATTATAAACTACATATTTAATTAATCATAAATACACAAGAAATGAATTCAATGAGAAAATCGCGAGGTAACGAGAGAAGGATGTGGGAATATTTTGAAATGCTCGGAGAGACATTTCAATTATCCTTCGATTTTTCAAGTAATTAGATATTCAAATGAACGCTATTCTTCAATTTTCCATCATCGTTTGAATAATTTTTTTTTTTATAATTATCGTCTCTCTGGCCAAAGTGGGTGCTGATGTGAAAAACGAGAGCTACCGATGATTAATTGATTATTATTTCCGTTCTCTCCTAGTTATGACTTCATAAATTTCGAAATTTTAATGAAAATTAAATATTAGTTCACCAATAAGTAAATTAACGATAATAGTAAGTTTCACAGGCACACGAGCACATAAACAGATAAACAATGAACTACGAAAATTGCAAAAAAAAAAAAATAATCATCAGCACCTTTGCTTCGCCGTTCGCCAAAAGAAACCAAAATGAAATTAACGAATCCACAAATTTCTCACGTTTATTGTAATTAATTGTAACGGCTTGACCTAAAAGAAAATTTAAAAAAATGCGTCGATTAGCAAATAATGAAAGAAATGAATAAATAAAAAATAGTGAAGTCTAGGTAGTCAATGATTTTGACATGGACAAAGAATATTGCGGCCAATTTTCGCGGCATATGCATATATATATATTTATTATATACTTATGTTTACACAAACGTTCTAAACAAAGAGAATTTCTTCGTGGAAGATAAAATGAATTGAGAAAACAGAAGTAAACCATATGAAAAATTATGAGAGTGAGATTGTTGTGCGAATATTATTCGTCAAGTTTTTGTGAGATAATTAATTACCTGTGAGTGTGTGAATGATTTTGTATGCGTGAGATGATGAAAATCGGGAGAGCAGAGGAAAATAATTAAAATGACGAAGAAGTTTGGGAAGAACCGAGTGGATTGTAGGCTAGATAGGCAATTTTTGATCATTAATTAAAGGAGAAATTAACACGCCATTTTTTCTCTGAGAATGATAAATTCTCCGATTGAAATGAGAAATAATTTTTAAAAAATGGCGAAACAATGAAAAAAAAAAAACCGATCAGTATACGATCGCACGGTCCAGCGTATTTTATTTAATTAAAATTTAATTATTATTTGTCTGATTTTTCATTATTATATGAAAATACTTGTTTTATCTTTTCTTTTCTGTTGAATTTATTATAAAATAAATCATAATAATATTATTGTCATTACAAAAAATAAGCATTTTGTTATTATTTAATATCTATTTTTCCTTATTTCATTTGCTAAATTGACACTAATGGATGGAATGAGAATAAACAAATGCAATATTTGTAAATATATATTATATTCGGGCGCCCATTGGAATACTTATATAACATGAATATAAACAATTGGTAATTTCACGTGGACCCCATGAGATAAATAAATGAATAAATAAACGAATTGACTTGTGACTTTTTTTTTCGTATCTGTCGGGCAGAAAAATTCAAATCAATCGATTGGAAATTAGTAATTAACAAGTGTGAATTCAACATCACTCCAAATTTTCGGAATTAAATATTCAAATAATGATAAAAAATTAAAATGGAGTTTCCAAGAGATGGCACTAGTTCTCTTATCGAATCATCGGCCATTATCTCTAATTATTCTCGCACAATCTTTTCGTTTACGACTTAGTAATTAAATTTTCAAATTACCGAACATAAGCATTTGTTATTTTGCATAATCGAGTTAAACCGACGCAATTAATGAACCTAACGGTGAATTTGTAAATAAGAATTTTATCTGACGCAAACACTCGTGCTTCAATAAATAAACAATTAGATTAATATCCCGAGGATAATTCACGTGAGGATAAAGAATCGATGCCCGCGACTCGTGTACCGTCGAGATCAAAATAATCGGAGATGTGTGTTCAAAAAATTATTTTAACCAAAATTAAAACGAGGAGAAATGGAATGAAAAACGAGTCCTTATTTCAATCGTTCACATATCAGAGTGATTTATGAGATGTTAAATTAAGGAACGAACGGCGGAGAGAGTGAGCCGACAAAACATCAGACTAATCATCGACAAATCCATTGATTATCATTTTAATGAGCATTCGATTTATGATTTTCCTGCTATTGCCATATTCTTTGACGATTATTTTCATTAAATCGAGAGCCTAATGCAAACGAACATAATTGCCCCCTGCCCCCTGCCCCCCTCAAAACAATGTAAATTAAATGATGAAAGAGTGAATGTTATGAACATTAAATTGCGGACGGTACAAACGCGACGAGAAAAACCATCAGAATAAAATGAAATGCCAGTTCAATCCTAGGGCGATGATAAAGCTTACGAGAGAATAAATTCACTGAGGGAATAATGCGAAAAGGATAAAATAAAGAAAGCAAAAATAATACCAATTTTACATATTCTTACTAATCGTAAAAGTGAAATTAAAGAATTAAATACAACAATACAAATACGTATAGTGACATATTAAATTAATGAGTAATGTATTGCGCACGGAGGCCCACGAGAATGATAATGCGAGATTCGAGAGACCGAAGGAATCGGAGAGGAAAGATTAAGAGAAAAAAAAACACATTACTAACAGAATAAAAAAAAACGGTAATCTATCTACTTACGTAAGTAACGTAAAGTTTCAATTTTACACTACCGATAATAATGACGTAATTGATAAGGCTACATCGTAAGAGAACATGAATGATTTATAATTATAACGTTGTACAGAATATTTATGAAAAAAATAAGAAAAAGTTGCAAAAAAAAGATTAAATAAGGTCCAACAGTTGAGGAGAGAGCCGAACGTCAGGGAATATATTCTAAAAACCGTCAAATAACGAGGATAAAAAATCAATTGGACTAATCAATGTCAACACGAGGTACAGTAATTAGCTGTCAGTGTGATCGATCACGTTCTTTGATTAATAAAACCCCAACGACCGCGCGATTCTCAATTAAAACATTAATGTAAGGTAAAAATTTACTAGCAATATTGATAAAAAACATTTGAAAAATCTATAACATAGTCATAAACTTCCCTCAGCTTTAATAAAGTGAGTAAAGACGTGTGTGATCACGTGAAAATAATTATACCTCGTGAACCTAACAGAAACCCAAACTGACGTGTCCTCGACTCTCTATTCAAACGAAAAATTATTTAAAAAATGGTCCAGACTATAATGGAAGTTTTGTAAGAAGCTACAAAACGTGATTTGCGAGGGGGGGGAAAAAATTAATAATGCAATTTGGGCTCCAATGGGACGAATGACAACAGCCCACTATCGAAATACAAAATTTGAAAGAATTAATTAATTAAAGTAATGAATAGAGTAATCCATAACTAAAGAAATTGCGAGGCTACCCCTAACTCTCATCCCTGCTTGCGCTTCATCAAGTGCGAAGTGGAAATATGAAAAAAAAAAAATACAATTTTTAAAAATGATAAAAATCAATAATGGCTCCTACCTAGCTGTGAAATAATAATAAATAACAGAAATAAAAAAAAACACGATTAGGTGGATAAATTTAAAGTAATGGAGACACTGACGGCCCGAAGATTAAACTAATTGTGTAATAATACAAACAACAAGAAAGAGAAGAGATGAAGAATAACTATTGCGATTATAAATAATAAACACTGATGAAAAAGGTAAAAAAAATTAATAAAAAATAAACAAAAAGAATAAACAATATTGTACCCCTCTGTACATATAACTATACGATGTAATACTATTATTACAATATGATTTATTATAAAAAATATACATATATATATATAAATATTATATATATATTATATCTAATGAATTCATATTACGTTTTATTATCGTTTCGATCTATTGTTTGAATATTTGCGAATGACGATTATTAATTATCATCAATTATTAATTATGAGATGAAAAAACAACAACAAAAATTATTGCGAATAATATTATTAATATTTAAGAAAAAAAAAGGTTCACAACGTGCCGTGTGTATGTGGGAATAAAATATGAAATATAATGGACATTGTTCAATTCAAAGAAAGTATTGTGTTTCTCTTTTTTATTCATTACCATTCCTGCAATTAATTTTATAAACAAAATTCCTCTTTTTTATTATGATCGAAAAAAATTGGGCTGCCGAGAAGGAGGGTCCCGGCTTTGAGGGCTGTATCATCAAAGAGTAAGAAAGTCGCCGCCGATAAATCAGTTTCCGTCTCGAAGGCTGGCCCACGTGCAGAATTACGCACGGTGGTACGCACGTGGGTAAGCCTTCTTTACTTTACCTCCCTAGGTGAGAACATCATTTTTCTCCCCGGCGTAGGAGCAAAGTCAGAATTCTCTCCGCGGGAGGGAAGTGTGTACTTTGCTCCCACCGGGGAGAAAATGACATTCACCCCGTCGACTGGTCCCTCTGACAGCGGGACTGCTATACTGAATATTACCAAAGAAGTAACTTCGGTTTTGTTCGGCTCGACTGGTGGGGAACACGGCCACAAGTGGGGATTTCGGAGAGTGGGGGTTACGGCCGAGGTTACTCCTCTGACAATATTCACTATCCTATCCTATATAAAAAGAGAGATGGGCCATTAATCGAACATGGCGGATTTCATGGAGATAATCGATTGTAACTATTCTCGATATATCGATCATGGGAATTTTTCATATGGGCAGAGTCATAACAAGCAGAGTATACCTGAGCTTCAATCACTAGCGCCACCGCGGCCGCAAGAAAAAAATGTCAAGTCAGGTGAGAGAATGAAATTATTGTGTTGGATGATACTTACAAATTCTCCTGTCCTTATTTTCTCTCTCCTTCTGCATGCCACTCCCCAACATCTTTCGGCCTTCTCCTATTAATAAATAAACTCACCGGTGGTGCCTTTGATTGTGACGCAAACCCATTACATTTCCGCTTTTCCAAGTTTTGTACGGGGCAAGAAGAAAAAAAAAGGATAAAACGAAATAACGAATGAACGGTTGAAGTTGAAGCCGGTGGAGGGATAATTGAAGAGAGGTGGTTGGAATATTTTTTTTTTCTCTTTGATGATGATGAGGAACCGAGTGAACTCTTATCTCGAGATACATCAAGAAATTGCGGATGTATATTTCTTCCATATTTTTTTTAAATTCATGTTTAATGCATGAATGGGGAATGAAATTTAGATAGGCGTGATAAAAAGTGATCGTTTCATTATGCTTGTGTTTATTTTGGTTGATAACGAGAAACAACGAAAATGTATATCCAGCGTTTGAATCAAAGAGGATTGACTAAAGTAGAGGCTCAGTTCTAGGAATTTGAGTGACACCATCGGCATTCTAGAATTTCACCCCAAGAGAGAGAGGGCGCCACACGCAATGCGCTGGCGTGTCTGCCCGTCAGCCGACTCGGTAACTGCCTCAGTAGCAGTCGCGCTGTCAG